TTGTCAACCGACGCGTCAGCGGAGGTTGACAATGGTTTTACGAGGGGTGTCAATTTCAACTGTTACCCTCAAAAACGTGCACTATTTATTTTATTATACTGAATGTCTTATTGATTTCGGATGTCATAAAAAAAATTCGGAGATCGTCGTTAAGTTCACGCTTAGAAAGCTTTCAAACTCCCCGCTTCTATTTTTCTCAATAAGAAAGTTTCGGAAAAGATTTACCAACCTCTTTATTGTTTGTTCGCTACTCAAAAAGTCCTTTATCATCTAAAGAATGCACTCGCAAGGATGTTTCGTCTGTCGTTTGTTGTTTTCAAGTAAGCTACATCGGACGCAAGCTTTTATTGACGTCGTTTATTCGGCTTCTTTCAAACGCACAACCGACGTTTTGAGAATTCTACGGTACGCGCATGATTTGAACGCATGTGATACTTTCGTAATGTTACCCGTTGTCAAGTGTGTTGCTAACGCTGAGGGTAACATTACGGATTGTTAAATGCGTTCAAACCAATCAGATTTTAGTATTTAACATGAAAGTATAATAAATAGAAATATTGCATTTGGTTGAGGATAACATTAAAAATTTTCACCTCAAATAAACAATTGTCAATCGAGTCGCGGCCGAGGTTGACAATGGTTTTCGAGGGGAGAAAATTGTCAGTGTTACCATGCTCAACTACACGAGATATTTATTATTGTATACTCAATGCTTTCTGCAAATACATGTAAAAGAACCGAACGCGTATAAATTCCGTGCATTCAACATAATTTAGAATATCGCCCGTCGTCAAGTAATGTTGACTGGTGCTGCGTTCTGGGGGCACGTGGTTTCATCATACAGAGGGTAAGTGTTTTTTTAAACAAATGTTTCTCGACGAATCAGTTAAAGTAATTTACATGAAAGAATGAGATCATGTCTGTGAGGAAATAATATCATAATACACGCAATAGTTGAGATGCTGTCAAACAACTTTGCATCGTAGTTTCTCGTCCAGAGCGATTAAATTTTGCGATTATCATATTTCTTTTATTAAACAATAGGGATTTTCAGGGATTTAAAGCAACAGGGACCTGTCAATTAATATTCATTTTAATAATTGTATTAGGAACAAATTGCACTTCGAAAAAAGAAATACTGGTAGTTATAGATGAGTATATATAGTGTCATATCGCGGTCGTTTGTCGTACATGTAAGGACACTAATAAATTCAATGTGAACGATGAATACTGACCAGTATGAGATTAATGTACTAGGATCACACTATAATTAGAAATACACTTTCATGACACAAGCCAGCAAAGCAGACATTGGTTTAGGTATGCTTGTCTTAATGTGCAGATGATTACAGTATTAAATATTGGGATACTCTCAGTGGTAATTTCCATGCAGTAGAGGCTCCTGAAATGTGGCTGATTGAAGTACATTTCTTTAAAACCACTCCAACCCCACCTCCAAATATAACGAGCCTGTATTTTCTATTTAAAAAATACCCAATTTTCTTGTCAATTCAATCCATATGTCGTTCTTTGCAGTCAATGTGTTTTGTTTATAAGGTTTAGAAATGGGTCGTATATGGTTACGAAAAGTACTCATTCAAGGTAACAAAACCAGGGAGGGGGTGGGGGTCCCATGCTGCTCCCAGGCACTAATTCGAGATAATATTCAGGTTACCTCCAATATTTTCACAAGCATTCTGTCGGAGAGATGTCCTATTAGCCCTCTTTAATCCCTAAGCGTTTTCAGACAATCGAACACGTGACATTTTCTTTTTTGACAGCAAAACAGGTGTTGGTGTTATCGCCTTGTTTCGCTTCATTTTATTGGTCGACAGAATATCAGAACCTCCGGTTTCGCTGACAAATTCATTGAGTTACTAATTTTGAAATGTTTATTATAATATGTTCAATACCCTTAATCTGTGAATTAGGTATGCGTTTTTATTACATTTTTAACAGTGAAATACTGTAATTTATTTACTGAATAATAGTGATATTCTGACAAAGTGTGAAAGAGTATCAAAATGGTATTCTGACAGTGTGAGAATATCAGAAGTGCGTCAAAACTTACGAATTTCCTTCCCTTCACGAAGAGTGTTTTTTAAAAAGATAGTTATAAGATAGAGTTAATAAGCCATACTGACAGAGACTAATAGTTATACTGCTAAAGTTTTCCCAAAGATATCGTTAAAAGTCCATGTTTACAACGTTTTTCAATCTCGCAATCGCTTATTTAGCTATGACGTCTCAACCGCTCAACTATGACGTCACAGCCTATATCACTTTGTTATGAAAAGACAGAGGCAAAGGAAAAATCTAAGAAAATGTAATAAAAAGAAAATTCAATGTTTTGTAGATGAATATGGAATTTATTTCACTCGTGAGACAGATTTTTTTTATATTTTGACTCGTGCTTCGCACTTGTGAAAATATCAAAAAATCCTGTCCCACTCGTGAAATAAATTCCATATTAGTCTGCAAAACATTTAATATACTCTATATATTTGTTCAAGTTCATTTTGTCAAGGTTATATACTCCTATAGTGATGGCCATAACTATTAATAGGGAAAGGAGGCATTCAAGCTTCATTTTATCGACCTTTGAGATTTCACTTTGATTTAAAATTACGACAAAGGTATTGGTCACAAGCAGCAATTTAAGTTGAAAGTCATTGCAATCAAGGGTTTCAAAAATATGGCAGTAATACAATTGCAATGTCAAGTGATCTTGACCTTTCATATATGACCTTGAGACAGATAGAAAAAATACCTCACCCTGGTTTGAACTCATTCCAGTCAGGATTCCAGGACTTTCGGCCCTAGACCATCTAAATATCTCATTGCCAATAGTGATATATACATCTGAGATGTGACACTGATTAAATGTTGGTAGTCATTGGCATAAATAAATAAATAAGTAAAAAATAATAATAATTAAGATTGGATCCAGCCATATCAAGGGCTGGAGGTTGTGGTTCAGACGCTAATTTTTGCATACAAATCAATCATGTAGAAACCAATTTGGTCTCCTTTAATTAGCGAGGACATGAAGCATTTAAACATAAGATGACAGCATCGGGATTTTATCAAACAATTTGAATTTTAAAGATAACGAATGAAAACAAATGCCTTGTAATGCATTCGAAAATTTCAAAGCGAGTCAAATTTTTGAAATGCTAAATGATTAATTCGTAGTAGTAGATTTAAAAAACAACAACAACAACAACAACAAATTTCATGACGATACGAAATGTGAATATCAAATCTACTCGAAATGAGACCACCATACCTATGGAAGTTAAAAATATTCTCTTGAAAAGAACAAGTTGAAATTCAAAGTGTTTTTAAACAACTCTCTAAAATTTTGAACATTAATTAATGTTATCACAAAGTGATGAAGTGCATCAAAACTTTTTTTCGGAAATAAAAATCAAGTTCCCGAATAGCATCAAATGATTTTAGACAGTTTTTGTCTGTTAAATGTGAAAAAATATTAGTATTGATTATTTTAATACGCAATTAATTTTGCAGACATCATAAAAATATTCCACAAGCCAAAACAACTTCATTTATGAAAAGTTTCTTTCCTCCAACTATAAGACTGTGGAATGATTTACCCTTTAATATTCGAAATCTTCCTACACTTTCATCATTCAAGACTGCCATAAAAAGTATATACTGCTTAAAACCTAAGAAATATTACAACTATGGAAGTCGTAAAATGAATATATTGCATTTTCAATTGCAAATAATGCTAGTAATTTAAATGCTGATTTATTTAATCATTTTTAAGGGAAGATCAAAGTTGTGACATGTGCAGGTATAGTTAAGAAACATCATTTCACTTTTTTATGAAATGTCCAAAATGTTGTGTGCAAAGGCAGAACCTTATGCAAAACTTTAATACTTTGGAATTACCAATGCCTATATCCTTACAACTTATTTTGAATGGAGACAATAACCTTACTGACAACCAAAATATTGCAGTATTTGAACTTGTTCTTGAATTTATTACATCTACAAAGAGATTTGCATGATATTTTTTCTCTTCTTGTTTTTATGCCCCGGGATTGAAAGATCCCGGGGGTATATTGTTTTTGTCCTGTCTGTCTGGTTTTTTTTTTTGAATTCTCAAACCACAGAACCAACATCTATGTATGTGTTCTTATTAACTTTCACATTTATACCTGTGTCATTTTTAATAGTCGTATATGTTAAACTACAAACATATATTGTATCATCAGCTCACTTATAAGTTTCTACTATTTATTTTGTCTTTTTTCATAAATTTCTTTTGAATATACACATGTATATATATATATTTTTCAATCATATGTAACATATTTACTTGTACATGTATGACTTTGACCTTTTATTATGGAGAGGACTTATATAGGCAATGCCTGCTGTCCAATTCTTTTATGATTATACATAATAAAATATTGTTTAAATTAAATCATAAAAATATACGCCACTATTAGCGGTTTTTCACCAAATATTTTTGAGTAAAATGGATCTGGAGCCTGTGTTTGTGCTAATATATAGAGAGAGAGAGAGAGAAAAGAAAGACCACTTTGTTCTTGAAAAGTATCCTTATAGATATGTCGTTTCTACTATTTTGTATGTCAGTTGTACACATTTGTTTGCAAACATTTATCAACTTTCAATTCAAATTGTATATATATGTACTTACGTCTGATGTGACCTAGATTCGAACCTGCGTTTCTTTGAACATTTTCAATATGATGTAGTCGGTGATTTAGAGATTACTTTTTAAATTACAAGGTCTAATTAAAAACAACTTTACAAACGTATTTGTGACGCAGTCAATGTTATGATTGGCCAAACGTGACAAGAGAATGCGCAATGAAGATTTCATTTGTCAGAAAGAAAATCTGCCACGACCTCATTTACATACGTCATATTACTTTCATACATCGTTAAATGGGAGGAACATCTTATAATTGACATCTCAATTAATACTTAATAGAAGTAAGGTAGAGAGAATTGGCATACTTCTCTAATGATGAAACACTTGTTTATTTTTGTCGTGAACGCAGTGTCAGTACTGTGTGTTTTCAGTTATCCAAGTTATCTCGCCAATATACCAGTTAATGATGTGCCATTTTTGTGTAGAGATAACTTTAACGAAGAGTACGCATATAGGACAGAATACATAGGACATGAATTATGTGATCGTGAAACTCCTAAATTCTCAGAAAGAAACGCCTTCGGTATTGTAAGTCCCTTACTCTTTTTATTTAATTATCAAAAATATTATATGTTTATCGATGTTGTATTTTTTCTCCAAAAGAATATTTTTGTTTGTTTGTTTAACGTCTCTTCGAGAATTTTTCACTCATATCGAGAGGCCATCACTTGATAGTAGAGGACCGCAAATTTTGACCTGTACTAGATACTTAGAGCCATTGAAGGATCTTTTCGAGCCAGCATCTACCTTGGTTTATACAGTCATCCGAAGGACTTGTCCCCACGCCCCGCAGTGGGATTCGAACCCGCGAAGTGAGGATCAACTCCTTACTACTCGACTCTAGAGCAAACCCTCTAACCACTGCGCCACGCGGGCGTCCTTTTAATGAATAAAGTTATATTCTAGTACAGTTATGAACTGTTAAAAAATATAATCATCGTCGGCACCAATGCATGTCATGGTATGTTTCATTCATGTAAGAGCACTTCAGAAATAAAAACCGGTTCTAATTAGTTTAGAGTAGGGAAGTGATTTTCATACAAATAAAGAAAATATTCAGTGGATGTTAATATCTGCTTGCGTTTTGCATATCTCTTTGAATGGTATACTTTTCCGGACACTTTGGTGCTATAAAGGAAACGTGGGAAAAGTACTTTTCAGAAAATGAAACAGACAATAAATCGGAGATAAGAAAAAAAATGGAAAATTAAAACAATCCACCTTGATGAGCTTGTAATTAAGAAATAGTATAGTTTATCGTATTGTAAATGAAACGGTGAACACATCCCGATATTTATTGTCCTAGTCAAAACTTTAAAATGAGGAGAAACATAAGTAACTCTAAACACAAAAATTGTTTTGTGACTAAACACGAGTAATTTGAACAAGGTCATGGTTGCAAGTTTGCGAATACTAGTACCTGCTCTGTTCATAACTTTTCGACCAGAAAGTATGTCATGACCCCTATACCATATTCATTTGGAAAATGTCGATAGGCTTGAAAAATTTTATATACATGTATACTAAACTAAGCGGGGGATTGAATTCTTACCACTACTGACAGAACAATTCCAGTCATATACAATATTATACATGTAGTTTCTACTGACAGTTAATTATAGACTTATAGCAGGAAGGAATACTTTGTTCAAAATCACATAATTAGTTTCGGAGCAAAAGTAGATATACCCCCCCCCCCTTTTGGCAAAAACTTGAACAAATAGCAATTTTATTAATTGAGACTTATTTTCACACCAGTTACATACTATGTTATAGATATTTTAATTCGGGTGCTCTTATTCCATCTCCACCAAGGATAAAAGAAGCGAATATGCACTTTTTACTGATAAAAAGATTGTCAGCACATATTTTTTAAATAGCTTTTAACACCCTAGGTTTAGGCCTAGTATTTGATACAGACTGTTTTCAGAAAGAAAAAAAAAACCCACTGAAATGTATTGATTAGAGCAAAACTTTTTACAGCTTTAGTTATATTTGAACAATACCATATTTATTAGTTGACATTTTCTCTTTACATGTAATTAAGTTTATAACGAAATACAAACTATTTCATTTTCGTTGCCATTATGCTTTCAGTGGCGAATATGCACATTTTACTGATAAATTCATTTGTACATCCTACCAATAATCTTTCGATATATAAATATATTCACAACGTATGGTATTATCAATTGCTTTACCATTATTTCCATGCCAATTCACACCAAAGCCTTTTTCTTTATAGTCATGTAGTAATAATCGCCTCGTTTTATTTTTTAACATCGAGCTCGATGCCATATGATGTTCTAGAAATTTCCGTCAAGATTAGATCGTTGAATTACGAAAACGGTTTGCACATTTTGCGTTTTAATCAGTTATCACAACTTATTTCTTTTATATCACTTAAATCAAATTTTGATCGAATAATTCACTAATGATGTTTTATGAAATAAATAAACGATTGCTTGTTGTCAGTTTCATTAAAAATCACCAGTAACTTATATCCGCCAACCGGAACCACCACCGTACTCTCTTTTTTGCTATTTCAGGGCTGTTTATCGAAAATGAAAGTAGACTTTTCATTAAATTTACGATAATTACTATGCAAGTGAAATCTAAATATACATCATCTCATACCTAGTGTATTCTTAGAAGAGTAAATATGAACTCTGGTGCAGGTGTTCGGAGTTTATTTGCAATATATATATATATATATATATATATATATATATATATATATATATATATATATATATATATATATATATATATATATATAATATATATATATTGAGGATTTACAGATATATACCCACCCACCCCCGGACAGTATAGATCCATGCAAACAGTGATGATTTTCATATAGTTTATTGAAAGTTACCTGTTTTTCAGGCAATGAATATCACATTTAGAGTTCCAAATCATATTCAAGGTGAATGTCGCAAAAGTCAAAACAAGTGTTCCTTTGCGCTTTAACATTTTATAACAAGCTCAAAGTCTTTGATGTCATATTTACAATATATATTCCACTTTGTCTAGGACTTTAGTTCAAACAATCATAACTGGACTGCCATTTGCCCTATTGATTCAGACGGTGACGGAAGGTCCAATGGGAAGGAGATGGGAGATCCAAATTGTGAATGGACACCGAGCGTAACTCTTACGCTAACCGCAGTTAGTCATCCAGGTTAGCAACAGTTAAATAATTCATGCTTTTCATCTCTAATTTTTCGTAAACTTGTTTGTAAAAATCTAATACCCCCATTCATTCCTAATAAAAACAAGTTTCTAAATACTCTATGCAGGGTGTTCTTTCATATATTATTTGTTTATAATAAGCTTGGATTTATATCTTTTAACAGGATACCCGGAAACTGCTGAAACATCAAACAACGGTACAAGATACATAGGAGATTGTTCACATATAAACATGGGATGCTTGAACGCCTTCAAGTAGCAATCATGATGCGTTTTCAAACGCTTCCTTATCAAGAAGTCCATTATTATTTTATGTTAATGTTATCACGTATTGTTTCCATAAAATAATTTATTAAAAATTGTGCGTCTATTTTTTTTATTTTCTAGAATCAGCGTTGGTCCCTCTTTCACAGACTGCCAATTATTTGTCTTTATTTAGTTATTCTGACTAAAGATTGAGTCCATTCCTAACCATGAATTGTATAGTTCTGTAAATATGACTTGTCATAGAAAGATTGTTCTTGGAAAGATTTTTTTCATAATATTTCCATGTAAAACTTCAATCCCCTATTTTGACCGAAATCTAATACCAAGATCGAACAGAATTTGGTCAAAACGATCTCATTTGAGCCTTTTCCTCAGGTGGGACAAAATGAATATTTTATTGGAATGTATGAAAAAATAAAGATATTATTTTTTGTATCACACAATATTTTCTGATTTGGAACTGTGAATATGCAAATTATATTTTTGTTACTGTTGTCTTAATTAAATAGTGGTTTCATTTACATTGATATTAATAAGCCATGTTCAAAACAAAAATAAATTCTTTAAACATTATCCGGCAACATTCCTTTGAACCAAATTAATTATTTTATCTACGACCGGAATCTTGATAATACGGGCGATGTAAACTGTCGATATTTTTAATTCAACACCAGTTTTGTGAAATGTTTCTTATTTGTTTGTTCAGTAGAAATTCTATTAAAGAAATGAAAATTTTGTCATAATGTTAATATATGTTCGTTATCAAAGTTTCTGGCAACACTGTAAATCTTCGCACCATTTTATTACTTTCTTACTGTTACTAATATCGGGAATTAATTTAGTTGAAAGAAAACTTGTGTCAAAGAGGACAGCACATCAAAACCAAACTGTACTATCGTTGTAACTGGTTTTCTGAAAAGGGGGGGGGGGCAAACTCTTTCTTAGTACATCAGAGATTACGGAACATTATTGTCAACTTGAATAAAATTCATTCATTGGTTTATGCATTTAATATACAGTTTGTATATGAATACACCAGACTTTTTAAAAATATGGTTAGTCAGATATGCCGTGAAATCCATATCACTTTTAAAGGTCAATATAGTTATTTTCGATTCGGGTTTTTCTTGTTATTTCCGAGGTCTGTTTTTTGGGGTAAAATTTGTTATTTCCTCGTCTTTGCTGGTTGATAATGCTAGTTTATTACATTTCCAATTGTGAAATTCACATGCACTATCATAACATTAATGAATAAAAGTGATATTTTGCCACAGTGTGAAAGAATATCGGAAGTGCGGCAAAACTCGAGATTTTCCTTCCCTTCATAAAGAGAGTTGTCTAAAATACTTCCTGGTCTATTATAAGGTAAAGTAAATAAACCATCCTGAAAGAGACTTAAAATGCCAAAGTTTTTCCAAGTATGTTGTTGAAATCCGCGTTTTCAATATCGCTAAGCTATGACCTCAACTAATTATATTTTAATAATGACCTCACAGCATATGACACTGTGTTGCGAAAAGACCGAGGCAAAAGGGAGAATCCTAACAAAAATGTGTTAACATTAAATTCAATATTTTGTATTTGAATATGGAATTCATTTCACTCGTAAGACAGAATTTTTTTTTTTAATTTCACTCGTGCTTCGCACTCGTGAAAATTTAATATCCAACTACAAAACATGTGCACAACTGTGGGAAAAAATGTCATACTTTAAGGACATACGGAATCCCTCTTGTCAATAACTGATCTCTTCCTTATTTGTACAGTATGAATCTATGTTTTTTATCACATCTGCACCACCACCAAAAACAAAATTGGATCCTATTATTGTCTAATTTTTCATTTCACACTCTTTCCGTTTTCTGACTTGTTCATTATTTTTCCTTACTTTTGTAAGGCGTTTATAATTAATAAGGGGCGCAGCATCCGTTTGTCATTTCTAACATTTAATTTTTGCAAAATTGTGTGGCCGGTCGACTGGAGCTGCTTTCTCTTAGGCACCTGGTACTACCTCTAAAATTTCCAGTAGTCCGTGTTTCATGTCCTGTTACATGTAACAGGGTTGTACTGTTTGTTTGTTTTTTAAGGTGGATCACTGTTCGTTATCTTCACCTATTTCAAAGAATTAAAAACACAGCTTCTGTGAAGAAAATAGTGCTTGAAAGATTTTTATTTTAACAAAATAAAACATATTCAAAAGAAAATTGCGATTGGTCTTTAAAAAACAAAGAAAGCAAGTAAGCATCAACATCACAACACGTTGACTCGTCTTAAAATACTTTAATGCAATAAAATTAAGAAACAGGTATTTATTTTACTTGATTTACCGTTGGGACAATAAATGTGTTACACGGTTTGAAAAATTAAATTCGTGCATAAAACATTGTTCTTTCTCTAAAAATAAAACTAAAAGTGGAATGTAAAATTTATGACTCATCGTGGTCACACTAATCCTTCTGCAGAAAGGGAAAAAAAACTGACAAAAATTGATTACAAAACGCAAGCAAAACACCTTAAAGGTATTTCATGTGTAAGTAATTTGATAGAGTGTGATAATTATTCATTTTTATGGATCTTCGGGACTTTCATACCGATTTCAAAATCATTACTTACGACGTGTTGCAGTGCTTTCTCTTCTAAAACGAAATACTATTCAAAAATAGTTAATCTGCAGATCAATATTCGTATATGTTGTAAAGGCTTTAAGGCTGCGCTGAGAACACGGCACGAAGTTAGGAACTAGTAGATATTATTATATCTTCCCTTCGTCGGAGGGAGGCATTATTTTACCAGGAATTCTGTCTCTCCCCTCCCTTAACGAGAGAGATTTTATTGTGTGTCGGAGAAAAAAAATTTCATGCGTGAATATTCATTGTTTTTTTTTTTCATTAATGAAAAATTAAGTTTATATAAAATCTTCACTGATTAGAAAAATTCTCAGGCATTACTAATCTTACTTTGAGGAAATCTAAACACCTCCCACTCCCAATGTCCGTTCTAAGTATGAGAAACGATAAGAAAGACAACTCTAACATCATCTGTTCTTGTTGCGATCATAATACGTTATTGGTAGACTATAGATGATAAACTGCAAAACATGTAAAAACCTGCCGTTGAGGAGATAGTTTATTGCCAAGAGGAAAGTACATAGCCCACGCAATTATTTTGATGCTAAAATATTTTCTTTCTACCCGTGCATGGTAAAATTTCTCTATCCTGTCATAATACTAGTATTTATTTTAAATAACACGTCGGCGTCCTCACTCCCCCTTCTTTTTTTATTTTAAATCCATTCGCCTCCTTGTCATTTGATTAATGTATAAAGATTGCTCACCCCATCTTGATTCCCCATTTATGACTTGTAAACTATTTTTCCTACAAATATTCTCCGGTAAGTAAGCTATCGTTTTAGCTCACCTGAGCTGAAAGCTCAAGTGAACGTTTCTGACTCACATTTTCGACTTCTTTCCAAGGACCACTTGGCCAATTTCAACCAAACTTGCACAAAGCATCCTAGCTTGTATGAAAGGAATCCAAGGTGAAAATTAAGAATTAGCGAAAATTCAATTGCATTTTTTTTAAAATCTTCTGATGAACCACAGGACTAGAAAGGATGAAGCTTATGTGAAAGATTCATTACATAGTGTAGATTCAAGTTTCTTAAAGAATCTCAAGAACAACAAAGCCATATTTATTCATAATTATATGGAAACATCCCCAGGTAGTGTAGATTCAAGTTTGTTCAAACCATGACCCCCGGGGCTAGGACGGCTCAACAATAAGCAATCATAATTTTACACAAGAATATAAGGAAAAAATCTTCTTAAGAATTGCAATATTTCTATGGAGGCATCTTTAGGTGCTGTTGATTCTAGTTTGTTCAAACCTGGGCTGTTGCGGAAACACAATAGGCATTCGAAAAATCTTAAAAATCTGTTCAAGTACGGCAAAACCATAAATAATCATATTTTCAGGTGATGAATTTTCATATTTGTTTGATCACACACCTGGGGCTAGGATTTAGCTATATAAACATCAAAACTTTTACATAGGAATGAAAAAGGAAAAAATGTTAATATGGAAGCATTCGCAGGTATTGAAGGTTCACGTTTGTTCAAACCATGACCCCCGGCCCGGTGCTGGGATGGAACCACAATATAAAATCAAATTTATAATAGGAATATATTGGGGAAAATCTTCTGGAGAACAGCAAAGCCATTTTAAGTCACAATAATATGGAAGCATCCTCAGGCAGTGTAGATACAAGTTTGTTCAAATCAATACCCCCGGGATAAGGTCGGACTACAATAGTTGATCAAAATTTTGCAAAGGAATATATAGGATCTTCTCAAGAACAACAAAGCCATGATTAGTCATATTTATGTGGAAGCCTCCTTGGACATTGCAGATTCAAGTTTGTTCAAATCATGACCCCCCTGGGGGAAGGGTGGGCCACAATCAAATACAAAGTTTTATGTAGGAATTTAAAGTGTTTATTTTTTCTCTAATGAACAGCAAATCCACGATAAAGCATTTTGATATGCAAGCATCCTCAATTAGTTAAGATTCAAGTTTGTTCAGATCAGGGACCTCGAGAATAGGTTGAGACTACAATAGGGGATCAGAGTTTTACAAAGGAGTACATAGGACGAAATCTTTCATAATGGTTAAGATCACGCTTAATCTTATTAATAAGAAACTCATATTTTAGATATGTTGAGTTGATTCTTTGATTATGTGTCCTGGGGTTAAAGGTGAGCAAAACTGAGAGATTCAGATTGTACATTAATACATGTGTACAGTAAGAATATTCTCTAAAACAGCGGGACCATGTCGATCGTACTGATATTGAAGCATCCCAGTGATGTGTTGATTTAAAGTGCCTAGATATCGAACATCTGAAACTTAATTCTCCTACGTGTTCATGTTCTTCTTCATCCTACAAATAATAGTCCTGCTGGACACTTCATTACGTGTGATATAAATAGAGTTAACAATGAGGACCTGAAATCACTTATTTTAAAAGGACCAAAGTTTGGGAACCCCGATCTTTCAACTGGTGTCATAATTTCATATGTGGAAGATTACGCCAGAAGATGGGCCAAACATAAAAAGACAACGGGTCAAAAACTATTATTTTGAAACATAAAAAGAAGGCTTTGGCACTTTTTCAGAATGGATTAAAAGTATCAGATGGATGTTAAAATCTCGCATTAAACAGATAAGGGGCAATATGAAAACCATCTATCCTTCTGTCCTCAATAATTCAAAAGTGAAAAAAGAATTAGATGAATTACACGATCAATATATACTGGTCCCAGCTGACAAAGCAGGTAATAACATTGTCTTTATAAGGCTCATTATTCTAATTGTATTTTAGAGGAACTTCGATTTAATAAGATGCAAGTAGTAATCCAACTTATAGTTCCCTTTCTAAGAAAGAAATTCTTCAAAATTAAAGTCAGGTTTGAATATTTTTAATATTCCCAACAATCAAACTGACTTTGAATTATCATATAATTATTGAATTCCTAAACTACATAAAAAAATCTTTACAAAGAATGATACATTGCGGGTTCCAGTAAATGTTCTACCAAGTCTCTTTTTTTACTCCTCACTAAAATATTAATAGTAGTGAAGGAGAGCCTTCAGGAGTACTGTACAACATATATTTGAGAAAGTGGTGTAAATCAGATGTGGATATTTAAAATTCACAAAATTTTACCAAAATCAATAACATCAAAACGTACGACTTTTCAACATTTTATACACCCATTCCAACAGATAAATTAAAGTCCAGGCTCTCTTTGGCATAATAGACAGCTGCTTTTTCAAAAAAAAAAACTGTACTCGCCAATTTACTTTCCTTGTCACTGGTAATTTGCAAAATTATTTTGTTAAAAACATTCTGATTATACACAAAGTACTCCAAAGGTGATATTAAAAAAGATGTTTAAGTTTTTGATTGACATTATCTATTTAGTCTCTCGAGATCAAGTCTTTCAACAATCTCTCTGAATTCCCATGGGTAGACTATGTGCGCCACGTTATAAACAGACCTTTTTTGTATTCATATGATAAACGTGATGACTTCAACTTTTTTATGGTCAGTTTCTCTTATCTATGAAGCAATATACCATTATCACCTGCATATACATTTGTGTGTTTCAGTGTGCAAGAGAATGCTTTACCTACGAACAACTTTTAAAACGAGGCAAGCTATTGACAAATAAGTTGATTAAACAAGAATGTCAACAGTTTCGTTTAACTATATGTTATGTGTTATGTCTTTTTAAAATACCTCCTTTCCATAATTTTAAATGGTCATGGTTTGTGCTTATCATCAAACGGTTCCAGATATTTACCTTTAATCCCCCCCCCTCCACCCCCGAGTTTTACTCTGTATGTCCACTTTTCCGCCATTCGACATTGCTTTTCTGCGAGGAAAACCTGTTGACCACTGCTTACTTAACACTGGATAAAACTAAGATTTAAAACAAGCACTGTTCATGTATATAGAATTTTAGGCTAAATGGAAAGTCAAAACATAGCTATAATTTATGTCGAGTTCCTGGTATAAAAAAACTTTTGACGAGAATTCAAACTTTCCTCAGAGTCGTATTGTTACGTATATAAACGCCTTGTGAAAGATCATGTATAAGTGGTACAGGGCATCAAAATAATTAATCAAATATATGTGTATAATGAAAAGGTGGTGATCCTCTCGGCTTACTTTTATGTAATTTCCTTCTTGAAATTCAGGTGAATCTGTCACAGGTTGTCATCTTAACACAAACCGCAAAGAGGTACGTCACACCTACTGAAATATTATGCATAGAGATGCCGAAAATATAAAGCACTTCGGTGCAAGTCGTAAATTTTTATCGTAATATATACCTGCTGAAACAAGTGATTATGGCAGCCTGTAGACTTTTCAGAATCTTGATAAGTGTTGGATTAACTTGTGTCTGTTTAGTTGTGTCCTTTCCATTTTTTGCGGATCACCATCTGCCTTCAAATACTGCCCCTGTCAACTGCGGAGGAAACAGAACTGTGTATACAGTTACAGCAATTGGACATCGTTTATGTGGACAGGATTTCTTTTACATAAAAAAGGACAAATTGAATCAATTCGGAAAAGTAGGTGTATCTTGTATCTTTTTTTTTACGTTATCAAAGGTTAAAATTCTTTTTTTTTTTCCTGTTCAGTGCTGTATTTCATTTTAGACATCCAAGAAGAGTTACATATTCATTACAACCATTACAATCTACTGTGAACTTTCAGTGTAAAACATCTTGATGACAAGCTGCAATTTTGAGATCCCCCATCCCTTACCCAAGCCCCCGAAAGGACATTCAATGTGTTCTATAATCATCCTGTTTGACAGTCTTATTTTTTCTTTAAACAGTGCGTCGATTTGTTTTCCCCAACCGTTAAATAGATGTGTATACAATTTGAAAGTTTGCACCTAGTATTTTTCTGATTCAGTTTTCAGAATATAAAAAGGTTCATATATGGTAATTTTGTGCGCATGCTAAAGACTTTTAAAAACTATTGATGGTCTTTTGTTTCTTCCTCTATAATCTACTTACTGCCATAAAATTCTATTTACCTGAAAATTTCAGACCAGACAGGTCTTATAAATCTAACCTAGCTATACTTGTCTTGGATATTTCAGTATATTATTCAAATTTTTAAGATAGGCTGCTCTACCGTTTTTGCTGATTAGCAAATCTTGAAGGTATAATTATATTTTATCATATTCACAAAATTTGTCTGTTGCTAAGATAAACCGTTGTACGGTAAATCTGTTTCAATTCATGTCTTGGCAATGGACAGACATGAAAAGTTTACAGCTCAAAGAATTTTTCAACCTAACATGCTTTTGGGAACTTAATGCAAATCTTGGAAATAAATGAATTGATACAAAACAAAGGTGCAAACAAAACATATGATGAAATTTGTAGTTTTATCACAGTTTCACATTCACGATTCTAGCATATAGTTGCTCCCCTTTTGCACGAACAACAGCCTTATTGTCACTTAGTTAACTATAAATTAAGTTTTCGGAGAACGTCTTTGGAATTGAGTACCATTCCCACTGGTGTCTTTCGCAGAGATTTTTTTTTACCGGTGGCATGTTTTCCGCTAAAAGCCTTCTTTTCCATTTATTTCAACTTAAATGGGGATTGTTTCCCAGCAGCGTTAATTTAGAACAATTACTGCATTTGAGGAACTCTCTTTTTCTCATCAGGAAACACTGAAAGATGTGAGTACCATGCATGCTTGTTTAGTACATATATTTCCCAGAAAACTATTTGTGTGTATGAATAAGAAGCGTAACTCAAGAGAGTTTCACAAATGAACTTCAATTTCCCTGGAAGAGTCTTGAATAAAACCCAAATTAAAAAAAAATTGGGGTCAAAGGTCGTCGAATAAAGAAGACGGTTCTTATTCAAAACAACATACAATTTTTAAATCAAAAGATATGTGGAAGGCACTCTAGCGAGAACAGTGCTCAATTAAAAAAAAAACAAAAAAACATGGAAACTTAGTTCTTAATATAGCTAATTGCATTAACGTTGTTATTCGTGAAAAGGGAAACACCTAAGTACTAGAAACATGGCAATAACGAACAGTATTCAAGTTCATAGTCCATTGAAACAATACAAATCGGGAGCAGAGCAAACACAGACCTCCAAAAACATCAGAGGCGGGATCATGTGCCATGGAGGAGTAAGCATCCCCTGCCGACCGGTTACACCCGCCGTGTGCACCTTGTTATAATCGGGTAAACGGAAATGGCCTAACTATTAGTATTAAAAACGTCAGTCAGCATTTGACATAATGATAGACTGTACATGTATTTGCTGATAAGGTCATTGTGTCGACCATAGAACTTGCGAAATGATGACTTCAAACGAGACTGTAGATATCCTTGTTTCATCAACTTTTTGGTTAATAGCTTGTCTCGTTTTTTTTTTTTCAAAATTGATTGCACGTAGAGCATGCTTTTTCGTATCGAATCAACTGGGAGACAAAAACCCCATATGCAGGTGATAAAAGTATATTGCTACATAAGTAAGGGAAGTTGACGATAGAAAAGTTGAAGTCATAGCGTGTACCATAAAGTTTTGTTGTTAGGCTACCATTTACGTCTTTTTCAAGTATAATATCCAAATATGAAACAAAGTGTCAGGCTCTGTGGTGTGTGTTATTTAAATTTCATAGGGATATATCGAATCGACACATGAATGGAAGTAACTATTGTTTACTGATAATACGTGGTCAATATATCTAAATGTCAAGTTAAAGACCACAGTAAGTGTTTTTCTTCTTCTCGTGTACACGTTTTTTTTAAAAAGAAATTCTGTTTCATATGAATACAAAAATAGGTTTGCTAAAAACGGGGTGCAACTGGTATCCATCGGAATTCCAACAGATTTTTGAAAGACCTGATCTCCAAAAACTACATAGATATTGTCAATCAGAAACTCAAGCATCTTTATAATATCAACTTCAGAGTACTTGTGTGTACAATCAGAATGAGTTTTAATTAGATAATTTTTCAAATGGCCAATGACAAGGTAACTGTATTTATGAGTTCCAATTTTATTGAAAAAAGCAGTTGTCTATGATGTCAAAAAACCTGGACTTTACTTTATCGTGGTTGTATAAAATGATGAAAAGTCGTACATTTTGGTATTATTGATTTCTGTAAAATTTGGTGAATTTATTTTCTTAAAGTTCTTTCGAGTTTATAAGTATCCACATGACTAATACCACTTCTCGAATATACTGTTGTACAGTACTCTTGAAGTTTCTCCTTCATTGCTGTAAATATTTTAGTGAGGACCGGAGTGAAGGAAGGGGCTTGGTTACTGGAACCCGCTATGTATCTTTGTTTATAAGGACTTCTATGTAGTTTTGGAATCTTCGTTTAAAGTCAGCATTTCGTAAATTTTATAGTCGTTAAAATGAAGGTCATTAGCAAATATATCATTGGGTCGTATTTTAGCTGACTTGTTTCATACCATTTGTTAGGGTTTTTTTAATACTGAATTTGACTATTGTTCGGTCTACCTGATCAAAACATAGAGCTCACGGTCAACAGGGGATGCTTACTCCTCCTAGGCACCTGATCCTACCTCTGGAATTTCCAGGGGTCCGTGTTTTATGCCCTCTTCACAGAATTCTATCGTTTATAGAATTTTGAGATCGATCTCTGTTCGTTATCTTCACCTTTTTCACTTATTTGATGTCATTTGTCAGTACCATGAGTTTGAAAAAAAAAGGATTGATTCTTGAGGAGACCATCACATGGTACATTCAGAAGATCAGGACCTTTAGTTATGTTCTGTAACCTCAATTTTCTGAGGAACTTCATTTTTATTCCTGTCGTTTTTCTCCTTGATAAGCTGATAGGGGTATGTTCTCAGAATCACTGTCATGTTTCGTTTTGAGTTTGAAATTTCAATCGGTAAAGTCATTTTCAGAGTCAGATGTTTCACACCTACTAGAGACTGAAGAAAGTTTAAAATAATTTCCTTCAGTTTACTCATTATCTGAACTTAATCATCACAATAGCTTTCAACCTTCCTGATTGTGCTGATAAAGCCCCGAACTTTTTCAGCTGCTTTTTTTGTATCCATTGAAATCAAAAAGAAGTAAATATTTAAGCAGAAATTATTAATACATTTAAACAAATTACACATACAATGAACGCCAAACTTTATTTTGTTTCAGGGCAGTCAATACGTTATATTTAGAGTACGAGTTTCCTACTGTATCGGAGATACAGGGCGGGGCTTACGGCGAGAGCGATAGCTCGAGCCGGGCCCCGCCCTGTATCTCCGATACAGTAGGAAACGAGTATTCTAAATGACTTGTGACATGACCTTTCTTATGACCTCGCTAATTTACATGTGTATTTTGGTATATCTCTCTCAACCAATCAGATAATTTTGCAGAAAGTTGATTTAGTACCCCATTTTTAGCAATCGCAACTGAAATGCCGAGTGAGGTGGACGTGCAGGTATCTATCAATTTAAATATTTATAATTCTGAGATGCATTATATAATGTTTTTTCCCAAAATTTAATTTATATTTGATTGCGTAGGTTTTTTTCCCTTTCTATTTAGCTCTTGCTGACTTTTTTTTAAAATCTAAGCTACGAATTCGAATTTAGTGCGAAACATTTTGATACATAGGAATCCTATATGGGAATGTATTTGAAGCAAAAATGTTTCGGGGAGGTTAATTGTATTCTGAGAGAAATGTCATCGACCGGTCGTCATACATGCGTATACAAAATTCTTGGCTCCAAATTGAAATAAACAGATGTAAGAAAGGGGGCATATTGCCTTTATGTTTGAAACAAAATGTAGAGGAACCAAAGGCAGATCCAGCACTCACTCGGGCGCGTCGGTATTCTCCCCCCTTTCGAGTTTTTTTTTTTTTTTTTTTTTTTCATTTTTGGCTTTTGTAAATTATGTTTGCTAAACTTGTATACACTTTAAATTCATCAACACGAAACGATCACGCACATATAGTGTCAGGCCTTATTATGAATCTACCCCCACAAAATCCCCGATTTTCCAGTTTGGACATTTTTTTTTCGAAGAAAACCATTTGTGCACTGCCCCCCACTCCCTTCTTTCTAAAAGTTTTGAATCCGCCACTGGTAACTTTACGTTGTAAAATTCTATTCTTAATTCATCTCAAATTTTGAATACTAACAGCTCTATCATGCAATTTGATTGATTCCTATGTCTATATCATTTAAGATACGGTTTTCCGTCATCGCTAAAAATAAACCGTACTGTATCGTTGATATTTTGCAGATACAGTACAGTTTCTGCTTATTTGCATAAGAAACGCCCACCAAAAGTGTTCTGTATCGCAGTTATTGTACGGCTGACTTCAAAGGAAAACTCGCCAGGTCATGTCACAAATATCCAATAGAACACCATGATCTTATACAAATGGCCTCTAATGTGGTTATTATATCAGAAAGAGACAATTAATCCAACACAAAATGATTTAGCAGGTCGTTGAATTTCGTGTAGAAAATTGAGGTACTAAAGGACTAAATTTCTGATTGCCAGATAATTATATGTATACTGGTAATTGAGCATTGTAGCATCAAATTCTTTCAAATTACAAAGTAACACAAAGATATATAATTTGTTTTTTTTTCCTGTCTAAACCAAGGGCTCAAGTGAGCTATTTTTTCCTTTACTAAAATTGTCCAACATTCGTTCGTCTGTCTGTCGGTCGTATTCCGTCGCAAACTTTTCAAATACTCAACTTCTGCTTACTACAACAAAAGAAATTTCAACCAAGCTTGGTACAAAGTATTTTTGGTTGAAAAGGTGTCAATTTTATTCAGACAAATGGTCATGTAAGGCCTTTCTCATTGAGAAATTATTACGAAATATGGAATGTGGGATTATTTAAAAATATCCTTAGACAGAACCATTGGTCCAGAAAAGATCAACCTTATGTCTAATGTTCCTTTAAAATATACTATCAAAATGTCCGAATCATGGTCCCTGGATCTTGGATGGGGCTGTAATAGGAGGCCATGGTTGTACATTCGTCATTGAAGTTTATATCGGAAAATTCTCTTAAGAATTCCTATCGAAAACAGCAGCAGTTAGGCATACATAAAAGCAAGCCTTATTGAGTAGTGTAGATAGATTTTGTTTCAATCATATAACCTCCATAGCAGGGTTATAGGATACAGTCAGCTTTAAAATACAGATATATATAACTTTTTTTTTTCAATGGATGGATCTGTAGCTTTTTGTCGCCCATTTCAATTTTTTAGATTAGTAAATTGTAGATAGTACAGACGATGCCTTGAACAAGTACGTTATTTGTGTCTAAAGCCAGAGGCGAGATTTTTTTCATTTGCTACATAAAATCATTCAAACTAAATAATTTAATTAATGAACAGTTAGACGTCATAACTTTGTCATACACATGGCGACACCACCTGTGTTAAGATAAGCATTACATATATCCGTCTTAATATACATTCAGTCCGATGTACGTGTGGAGGGTCAGATGATTTATATTTTTTGTACTTAAGCCACCAGAACACTTAAATGCAACGTACCAAATTATTTGACCTGCAGTTTCAGTAGGGTGACGACCTACTTGTTTGATGTCCGGGGTCAGGTATTTAGAAAGCATGTGTTTATGGCAGAAGATAAATATCATTAGTGGAGATATTCTTTCTTATTCTAAAACAACTAAATTGTACCAGGGAACGCATGTGTCGCCTGCTTTGTAGCTTCATTAAAAATGTAAATTAATCTAAGAGTAGTAGTCAACTATATATTTATTGTTAGCATGATAGTTCATGCAATTGCCTGCAAAGAAAAAAAAATTGTATTAGACTGCGATAGAATCTGACGATCAAAGAAAATATGGTTCCTCAAACCTCAAATGAATAATTAAATTGAAAGGATTTTTATTACCAATGATTGTTTTTCAGTTTATTAATACGTGTTTCCAAAAATCATCTAAAATCTTTAGTACAATTAATACAACTGTATACAATCGTGTAGACTGTACACGATCCATTGTGGTGTACCGATCACGATGTATTTTTCTAGTAATTTAAAATTAAGTTTGAATGTGTGGTAACTGAATATCATACAGTTTCATAGTACAGTGTCATGAGCTCATAAACAAGTATATGCTAATTATCAAAACCCTGCCTCTCAAAATTCAAAAGTAATGCGTTAAATTAAACTGTCCGGGGTATTTTTTGCAAAGTAGGTCAAAGGTCAGGGTCAAATGGATTTTTTCCCCAAACGTTTTATGCTAAACAGCATATGCTCTATAGCATAGACTTACCTGCTGTATATCGGCAATATGAACTATTTTGAAAAGTAGTCAACGGTCATAAGGTCAATAACCATGGTAATTTACAAAAGCCATAGTGCCAGGCAATGTATGTGCAAAATATCAAATTCATACCTCTTACAGTTCTTATATAAGGTGTGACAAATCCATACCTCTTACAGTTCTTATATAAGGTGTGACAGACGACGGGTAAGGTGATCCCGAAGTGACACTCTGCTCTGCAGGCGACACAAAAACAGTTATAAATATGATATTTTGTATCAGTATCAATGGTGGATTAAGATGGGGTTAATTATTGATACTAAACTATATTATTGATGGAAGTCAAGTTTATATCATTAATGGTTATATAAGACCTTAGCAGGTAATTAAAGTGAAGTAAGTGACAGCTTCCTGTCATACTATTGCTGGTGTCATTATTGGTGTTTTAAGCAATAAGTTGCAATATTTATGCAGTATCAGAGGTCCTTGCTTGGTAGCATAACTGCTTATGAACAGGGAATGTTCCTTGGCCATGCATAAGGTCATTTGGTCTAGTTCAAATGATTTTGAAGCGGTAGTCTGGATCATAGAGATAATATGTTAAGGTAATATGCAGAGATTGCAGAAGCTCATACTAGATTTCGAATATATACATCTATTCAGTTTAACATGCTTACTAATTCAAAGTTCAGTTATGACATTCTGAAATTTAAGGTACTCAGTCCGAAACCGCTCTTCTTTGCGTTGTTGCAACATATTGGCCATAGCAGCAACCTTGAAAAATTAAATTAAGTCATTTTTCTGCTAGAGAATGGCATACTAGAGCACCCGCATCGAAAGTGTCTTTTTACATAATGTTCTTGTTTTGGGTACTGTCCAAGGTTCAAGAACTTCGAGTTACATGTATGAGTCACAGAAGTTTTCAAAAAAGAAACTGACATTATTGAAAAGTACTAGTATGACTTACTAAGCTTGGGCTACAAGAGTTTATTTCTGAGTCGTCATAACCTTGGCAAAATTAAATAAAGGACAATAAAGATGAGGGATACAGATTGTGTAATAAATTCTTTGCAGCGTTTTTTTCCCGTCCGATTAACATTTCGATGTCTATAAATAGCATTAAGACAGAAATTTTATACCTTTAAACATAAAGAAAGAAATATATTTTTCATATTTTGTATTTATAGGATTTTAAAGACGTTAAGTATGACTGGCCAACACTTTGCAAGATGGACTCAGATAACGACAACCGCACAAACGGAGAGGAACTTGGTGACCCAGAATGCATCTGGAATAACCATTACACAACAGAGGCGGTCAGCCATCCTGGTAATGATTACAATATTAAGGAACAACAATCCATGGTGGTGTCTTATTGATAATAAATTGTGTTCAGAACAACATACCATACATATAAATGTATCTAGTCACTTACACTGTGGATACTGGTCCTTTTCTTGAGCTGGAAACCGAAGTCTGGTGTCGCAAAAGATGCTGGCACGGAAAAGACTCCACGCTTCTCAATATTCATAAGTACAAGCCTATCTCTTAATCTGCAGCCTTCCATCAGCAACTGGTCCCAACTTGAGTAAAATTAGACAACTCAAACGAACAACTAAACTGTTAGAGTGTATTGTTCAGGCCCGTAGGAAGCAATTTCACTTTGAGGGGGCACAAACATATATTTTCAGTTGGGGAGGGGGGCACTATCAACTACCAAAATTCCTTGACAAGCCAAAAAAAAAAGGGTTATCAGACGTTGTTTTGAGGGGGCACAAGCATATAGTAGCTATGTTTTCTATAGTATTCTATATGACGGCAAAATTATTGAGGGGGCACGGCCCTCCCGTGCCCCCCGGTTCCTACGGCCATGTTGTTATTAACACAGGCACCTGAAGCGTGGATAACATAGAGCTCTTAACCACCCCACCCCCACCCCCTTCACCAACACCTAACTTCCAAAACACGACGATTTTTCTCAAAATTATGTGATTTCGCCGTCAATTCCATCAACATGTATATGTCATTCTGTGCTTTGTACTTTAATTAAGGTTTAAAATATTTGGCCATGTACGGTAAAATGATAATACACAAGGTAAGAACCAACGGGAGGTTTCCCGCTTCGAGTCTGATTTCCAAGATACTAACAGTATACATGTATTCTAGTATATTTTTTCAAGCAATCTGTCAAGAGATATTCTCCTACAAGTCCCCATCCTTAGTGTCTTACTTGCTGTAATCAGACAATTTATTAAACGGACACATAAAATTTTCTCAATTGACAGCGTTAAAAGAGGTTCTGTTTCGCTTTATCTGGTTAGTCGATAATTTAAACTGTAATCTGTCTCGTGGTATTTTGGAAGTAACTGAGTTAGGGGAGGGGGAGGGTTTAAGAGCTGTATGTTATCCACGCTTCAGGTGCCTGTGGTTAGTAACCGTATAATAGTGTAAAATATTTATAGATGTCTCACAAAAATTTCGGTATGTTTGTAGGGCTGTGTATCGTGAGGAAAAAGTATCACGATATTTCAGAAAAATATCGCTATACATCATAAAATATTAAGTTTGTACATTTGTAAATTCCTCTATAATCTTTTTTTTATTTTTAAGCAAGAAAAATGCAGATTTCAGCATTTCTTTTTCAAAAAATCATATTAGAATAATCTTTTGAGTTTTTGTTTTTTAAAAGATTCAACTTTTTTATTGCTAGAAAGAGAAATTCGACTTTTCCTTTGAATTTAAATGAGTTCCGCCATATTGTTTACACAGGTTATGCTGAGGACGAGGTTCTCGATGATGCTGGCAACGTAACTTACGTCATAAAGAACTGGGAGGAGGAGGAGGCGTGTGGAAACATTGTCAAGATAGGGTGCTCACAATACACACACGGGATGGGGATTACCACAAAACAATAAAAACTTGAGGAACAATTCACAGTGCAGAACTGAGTGAGCTTTACTAGCACATTGGAGACATTTAATGTGAATTTGACAACTGGATTGTGCCTTTGTCTTGTTAATGATCAATCGCCAAGTGCAAAGATAATGACTTGTTAAAAAAAAATCGTACTATTATAAGTGAACGCCCTCCGTTAAGGATATATTTAAGACTACAAATTAAAAGTGGTGTGTGATAATGGTATGTTATGACGTATTTCTGCTCTTCAATATATGTCATTATAATTCCGTCACCGTTAAAATATTAAATAATTACCAAAAATCCCCTACTCATTTCATGTTTTAAGATTTTTGCGATTATTTCCTGCATTAGGGATGCTCGTGCTTTATTGATTTAACAGTTGCAATGATTGTGACACTGATTATAATTTTAATATGTTTATATCTAATATATTTTATAAGTATTGAGCCAAGTTCCTATAAAATGCAAGTTATATTTCCCAGGCCTTGAGGTCTTAATTTTCCATGTCAACATAATAATCTTACAATGTTGACATACATCTACCGAAAATATGAATTAAAAATGTATCCAAAGTATTAATTGTCATTTCAAAGTGAAAACGCACCTGTGAAACCCCGGTGTTTTGTTAAACAATGCACATTATGAATAAAATATTTGTTATTTTGCTTTGAGCTTAATATTCATTTACATTTTTTAATATAATATTTAAATTGTAAATGTACTCTAACCTAGAAATTGACATTTTATATGTCTTAATTTTACGAATAAAAGTCTGGATGAATTGCATGAATTAAAGGTAAAAACTGCACACCATTTGATTGATTTAATATTGTTTTAATTGGAATATCTTAAACGATTCACAACTAATTTACTTACCATTTTTAACTACGATTAATTAACTGGGCATTTGCTAATATATTAAAATGGTGAATTATTACGCCAGTTAGTGTTAAGGTGATTTTTTTTAATTTACATTGCCCAGTATCATAATAAGTTTAAAAAATAGGTGTTTTTTTTTAAATATATATATACATGTACATTGTAATCACTTATACTCATAGACACTTATTAGGTTACATAGAGACTCATTCTTTAGTTGATAATAATAAAATGGTTGAAAAAGATCTGTAGTACATGTTTATAATTGCAACTTTATATATTCTACTCTATATATATATTAACTACTTTAAGTAGTATTAATGAACTCTTTTTTTCATCTACATATATTCTATACCATTTTTTTATTTTTTAGTTTATTAATAGTGAGGATGGCTGTTATCATTGTCGCTTAAGATAGAATCTACACTACCTCAGGATGCTTCCATATCAATATCATTAATCATGGCTTTGCTGTTCTTGAGTAGAAGAATTTTAAAGATGTACAGTGTACGAGGGCGGTGATAAAAAGCGAACTAATTGAATAACTTCCATAAATGAAATAAAATTAAATTTCGATGTTTATTATTTTTTAAAGTAGTCCTCCGATTTTAATGCACATCCGCCACCGTTCTGCCCATGCGCGAATCACGTGATCCAGGCGGTCACGTGACATGCTCCATAGCGTTCTATTCACAGAAGCTTAAAAGATTTCCGTGTCTTATATTTCTTACCATGAGGTTATTTTTTTATAACAAGAATTGTCCATTTGTCATAAATGGTTAAATCTTCGCAATAGCATGGGTTGGTAAGGATATATTTTCCCACAATGAGCATGGTGACCATCACAACCTGACATCTGTGTCTTGGATGTGTCATTCTTCCATTGTGATTAAAGTATTGGCGCATTCTTTTTATCATATCTGATATGTTTAAAGTCTAATGTTAACGTCACTTTAGAGATTTAATAATTATGATATTCTTCAAATATTCAACAATATTTCTAACTGTAACTTGGTGATCTTTCATGACAAATTGCTCAACTAAGGACACATCTCTTCCCCAGCTTACTTTCACTTGGCGCCAGAACAAATATCAATTTTAACCATCTCCCTTCCTTCACTAAAACAATCAATCCAATTTATGATTGAACTTCTGGCAAGTCTTTTGTCTTCATAAACCTTGTACAAATTATTATATGCTACTACAAAGGAATTTCCAAGATAAACGTTTAACTTTACAACTTTCCGTTACTCGAGTACGACTGAGTCAGCTTTTTTTTTTTACAAGTCGCCTACATTTTGACGTCATTTTCACATTGTGACGTCACAAACATGAAGCAAAACATTACGTATCAACTGCTATTTATAGAATATGTTTATGACTATTTGTGTGCCAAATTTCATTCTGATCTGAATAGTGGTTTTGTAAATATAGGGAGAGTTCGCGAACTTTTTGATCACCCCTCGTATTCCTATGTACAACTCTGATCGCTCATTGTAGCCCCACCCTAACCACCCTAAATTTGAACAAATTTGAATCTACAATACCCGAGGATGCTTCTATAATAATATGACTAATCGTGGCTTTGCTGTTGTTGAGCAGAAGATTTTTTTCAAGACGATTCCTATATTTTCTGATGTAAAACTTTGATCCTCTGTTGTGCCCCCTCATAACCCCTGGGGGTCATAATTTCAACAAACTTGATTCTTCAAAACCTAAGGTTGCCTCTGTATAAATATGACTAATAATGGCTTAGTTGTTCTTAAGAAGAAGGTTTTTAAATATGTTTCTTATGTAAGATGTATGATCAGGTTCTTACAAGGGAGAAAGAGGTTCTCTCTTTCACTCTTTCTGAGTTAATGATTGGAATGATTATTAAGACTGCTCTTTCTGAGGGTTATCACCTCGGTACTAAAATTAGAGACTGGGACTGGGTAATATACTACTTGCACCGGTGTTTCTCCTTTAGGTTCCTATTGATAGATAAGAACCAGGCGTCTCAATCTCCTTCACATTTATTACCTTTGGATACCAACCTTGGCCCTTTATCACCCAGAACTTAACATCAATTCCCCAACTTCTCCTAGCTTCTGATTACCTGACTTTCCCTAAGCTTTGCCTTATATACCCTTTGGCTAGTCAATTTCGGGTTGTCAGGTCATTCCACTATTTGAAGTCTTCAATGCATTTACGCAAATGCCCCTTAACCATTACACCTATGTACTCCTATGTAAAACTTTGACCCACTGCTGTGGCCCCGCCCTACCCCCGGGGGTCATGATATGAACAAATTAGAATCTACACTATCTGAGGATACTTCTATATTAATATGATTAATAATGGCTTAGCTGTTCTTGAGAAGAAGATTTTTAAAGATATTTCCTGTATATTCCTATGGTAAACTTTGACCCCCTGTTGTGGCCATGCCCTACCCTTTGAGGTCATGTATGGAACAAACTTGAACAACACTGCCTGAGGATACTTCTTTAATAATATGACTAATCATGGCTTTGCTGTTCTCGAGAAGATTTTTAAGACATTTCCTATATTCCTTTGTAAAACTTCGACCCCCTCTTGTGGCCCCGCCCTACCCCCGGGGGTTATGATCTGAAAAAAATTGAATCTAGAGTATGTAATAAAGCTTTCACATAAGTTTAATCTTTTTTAGCCCAGTAATTCTTGAGAAGATTTTTTAAAAGATGCCACCAAATTTTCAGGAATTCCTAATGATCTCCCCTTGAAAGAGGGCATGGCACTTTCTCTGATCAACTTAAATTCCCTTCACTCAAGGATGCTTTGTGGCAAGTTTGGTTGAAATTGCCCAGTATTCTTGAGAAGAAGTCGAAAAGGGGATTGATTGAATGATTGTATGTTTTTTACGTTCCATTCGAGAATTTTCACTCATATAGACGTCACCATATACCGGTGAAGGGCTTCATACTTAGACCTGTACTCGGCACTCAGGGCCATTGAGCATTGAGGGTTCTTTATCGTGCCAACGCCTGCCGTGACACGGGGCCCCGGTTTTTAAGGTCTCATCCGAAGTACCCTCGAAAATGTGAAAAGTTTACAGACGATAGACGGCCGCCGGACACTCTTTGATCAGAAAAGGTCACTTGAGCCTTCGGCTCAATGCATGCGATTTACTCGTAAATTCCATTTATACGCCGTACATTGTACATTTTTAAGGATCTACATGTAAATAAACCATACATACATGGAACTGGCGCAAAATATAGACTTTTTATACTTGATAAATAAACCAACTGTGAATACATGCTTACCTAAAGTTTAAGAAATCGTTAAAAAAAAATCCTCGTTTTCAAACAGAAATTAGTCGGAACAAAACAATTATCTTAACATTTTAAAATTGAGATTTTTACAAACTTCACATGTGTAATCCTTGTGACAAGACCTTCCTTCGGATACCAACAATTTTGACTCACTGACCTTGACTTTGGATTTGACCTAGTTTTGGATAACTTTAACCTTGGCCATAACTTTTGAACGGTTGGTCTAGAGCTTACTTCACATATGTAATCTTTGTGATAAGACCTTCCTTTGGATACCAACAACTTTGAATTTCTGACTTTGACCTTGGAGTTTCACCTACTTTTGGAAAACTTTAACCCTGTCCATAACTTTTGAACGTTTGGTGGTAGAGCTATCATATTTCACATATGTAATCCTTGTGACAGGATCTTCCTTTGGATACCAACTTTCGCCCTTTGACATTGAACTTGGAGTTTGACCTACTTATGGAAAACTTTATCCTTGGACAGAACTTTTGAACAGTTGGTGCTAGGGCTTTCATATTTAAGATGTCTATTCCTTGTGACAAGATCTTCCTTTGGATACCAGCAATTGTAATCTATTGACCTTGGAGTTTGACATACTTTTGAAAAAATTTAACCTTGGTCATAACTTTTGAACGATTGGTGCTTCGGCTTTCACATTTCACATGTGTATTTCTTATGAGAAGGCCTTTTCTTGGGCACCATTAATTTTGACCTTGACCTTAATGTTTGACATATTTTGAAAAAAAATTAACCTTTTCCATTTCTATTCAATGGTTGCTGCTAGGGCTATCATATATCACAGGTATATTCCTCGAGACAAGACCTTACTTTGGGTACCAACATATTTCATTTGCATTTGAGAAAGTTTAACCTTTTCTATAAGTTACCATACGGGGACATCAGTGTTTCACAAACACATCTTGTTTACAATTATTTTTAGGCTCTCTTTCCAGCTTACAATCCGTGCACGATATGAACATCGATCACCCATTCCGAATACATTAATCTTCCATCATTTCACTCATCGAGGTAAAATAGTTGAATTTTGTTGGATTTCAAGACATATTGGTATCCCTGGCACACCAAAGCCAATAGTGCTGGAGAAACTGCACACTTCAAAATTCCCTGCACAGATCTGAAATCTTTTGCATTTTTGGGGAATATTTGTCTTGGTAATAAACGTTATGTTATATATAAAACAAAGTTAATATAAATCATCTGATTTCGCCTAAAGCGTCAGGACAAAGAATACATATTGAATATTCACGATTTACCCATTCACGATGTACACTGTCCACTAAATAGGGAATTCCAGCCTGAATGCATATTTTGTAACTGTTCATTAACTTTACACTACATTCTTTTAGAGTATAACACACAGTCACAGTGTAAATTCACTGTTTTAGAAAAAAAATTATATTATTATGGAAAGCCATAGGGGACCCCCAGTGTATTAAGCATCCCCTATCGACCGTGTGCTCATTGTC